AACAGCATTACCGGCATCATTTTCGAAGAAGTGCGTCCAAATATGACTCCGCTGGCCCAAAAACAACACCAAGCAGTGACTCGTCGGGGGTGCATAGGTTTCTTTTTACAGTGGGTGCAGTTTGACCTTTTAACGCGTTTTTTAGGTAAAAATGTGCCATCATCGCTCAACACTTTTTTTTTTTATCGGCATCAACGTTTGGATCACGTTTAAAGAGTTTTTCTACTAAGTATCGCTCCATGATTGAGTTTGCCAATTCATATACACAATAACATATCACAAACAATTGCTGCCAAAGATCTGCATCGCCCTTGAATCAGCCTATAGCCACTCCTGTGCTCTAATTATGCCTGGGTTAAGTATTCTTCGTGCTTATTCTGTTTAGTTTGCCGTTGTACTGGCATTTCAATGGTCTGGATGGAGTATTGAGCCCTGTACCAAGCCTAATGTAAATTTCATATGCCTCCATCCTTAAATGGTCTCCTAAATAAACTGTCGATTTCTATGATAGCTTTTAACAATGCTTTTTAGATAAAGATATTGCAGATCAGATCAAGTTTGTTCAGATTGCGCAGCTGAAAGCGTTTCTAACATCTGGAAAACTCATTAAGCCATATACGCTTTATATTGCCGTGCTGCCTAGGCGTTAGCCCTCCGACGTTAGAGCCGGATATTGAGAGGCGTGGTTTCAGTAGTCTCTAAAGAATTGAGGAGGGTATGCTGAGGGTGAAGTTGGGTTGCATTTACCTGAATTGATTAATACAAGCTGATGATTTTTTCATATATCATTGTACATGTCTAGAAGTAGTATCTCTGAATGCTTGAGACGGCTAGTACGTCCTTCGGCTCTGGCGATTTATTGTAAGGAGTGAGACTTCTTCCGCTGGGTGCGGGGGCAAGGCATCTTACAATCTAACCCCTTTATCGAGCGTTTAAATCTGGCTTGGGTGTCATTCCCCACAGTTTTGTACTTTTTTGTACTTTATATCTTATATTATAGCCAATATCCCTGGAGTCGTTTTTGACTATGTTACGCAGCGTTTCGCTTGTTTTTTTTTGCCTTTTTATTGCTAACTAATTTGCCAGACTTCAGTTTTTTACTGCTTTACATTGCCCTGCTTCATCACTCGCGATTCTAGAGCGGTAGGTCCTCGTATATACTTGTCTCCAGCAGAGACAGTGGATCCTTAATTCAGCGATGTCTGTTATTGTATGTGAGTATGCGGCAGCTCTCTTGTTTCAATGCCGTGCGGTTTGCGATAGATTTTCTACAAGCTCGAATAATTTTTGTAAATAGTGGCGCTTCGTTTAAAGTAAAAATGTTCACCGAGTGCTGTTTCTTCGGGCTGTTTAATCTTGGGTAAATTAGTTTCAATCAGAAACGATAATAATGATGGTCGCTACCAGTAAAAGGCTCTGAAAGTGCCCACTTTTTTGTAACACCCATTATTATTTCTAATGCCAGAGTTACGTTAGAAATTAAACCTTAATTTCAATTCATTTTATTCATTTTGTCGGGAACAATACAGAGTACAGGACTTTTTCGTTACCACTTCGGGAACAGTTCAGGACCATTTTACCCTGAAATGATCCCGAATTAGCCCCAAGAATTGTGATGAAATAGTCCCGAAGTCGTTCGGAACATGTCGTGAACATGACACAGTCTTGAAACGATCCCGAAATGGACCCTACTTGTCCCAAAATGATCCCAAGCTAGGCCCGAATTTGTCCTCGAAAAGTTCTGACCGGTATGGTCTTAAGCCGGTCCTGAAATTATAACGAACTAGTCCCGAAATTGCCCTAAAGTATTTAGTCTAGTAATATTTGTTTGTAACATTAGAAATAATTAAAGATTTCCTGCTGAATTAAACAAGAAGCAGTTAGAAACCTTCTCGTTGGTTATCGCAAATTTTACCCATACCGAGAGCTAAGATGCTTACACATCAAAAACTAGTTTTATTGTTCGATAACTTTCACTCAGAGAAATATTTGAATAGATTTGACAAGTATTAAAAAATAAATGAGGCAAAATATGTAAGCATTCGCATCGAAACAAAGGTATTGGAGAACGCCTTAATATTCCATTATATTTTCAGAGGTTTGGTACGCATCTATTTTACTTATGTAGAAAAAATTCTGTAATTTCTTGTGGCTTTCCCGGCTTTTAATCATGTTTAGTTAGGTATCTTTGGCATATTAGCACGCAAAAACGGATAGATTTTCAATTTTTTTTTCTTACAATTTCCGTCCTCGAAAAATATAAAAAATAATACTCTGCTCTTTCTTCTAATCACGTCCAATTGATTCTATTAATCACTTTGATATGTAAAGCCCTCGTGAACCATCGCCGTCTTTTACATTTGTCTAGTTGCATGGAGTTACATGCAACACGGACTGACATGTGGCACATGCCATTCCTTCCACTCAACGCCAGATGGAAGCTACATAATTTCGTATGCAGACACATGCGCTGTTGCACTTCCGCTCTTTTCCACGCGTGATTTGTCAACTCCGCCAATTGTCGACGGCATCGGCAGTGACATCATTAGCGGCGCTTTTGTTCAATACCCGCCATGTCCAGACATGGTCTCCTATTTAACTTGCGTGACTATTTTTCTTGAAAAGCGCGTTTTTTTTTTATTTTAAAATTATGTTGCAACATGGATTTGTTAACATCAATGCGATTAGCGAATTAATTTATGCAATTTTTGTGTGGAAAAATCTCCAAAATCAAGGTCCAGCTTTGCGCTTGTTCTTGTCCTTGAAAATTAAACAAGTCGATATGTACTCAATGCAGAGTCATGCACAATTATAGTATGTATGTGCCTGTGCATTTGTACATAGTTGTGTAGGTTTATATGTGATACTTCTTGCTTTGAGTAGTGAGGGGGAGCGCTTTTACCGGTTACTCGTAAGCGGCTTAGCGCAATTATCATTGCTGTAAGCGCATTGTCGGCTTGGTTGCGTTATGGAACGTGCCACTGGAACATTGGCGGAAATTACCAGAAATTATTCAGTAGTTATTTGCGAAAAGGATATCGAGTCATGGTTGTGAGTGGGAGATCTGATTGTAGCGCAGCTAAGCTGTTTCATTGGAAAATATGTTACGAGTCCTTTGATGTTTTCGAGAATTTGCAAGTGAAATTAAAATAAGCAAATATGTATGTATGTACATATCGTCGTGCATAGTACAAACTCGCGTATCGTCGTTCTGCAAAACCGCGTAACTGACATTTTTTGCCAAAAATTGGATTCGCTCACACAAGCTCTTGGCTCAATCCTTATCCATTCGTCCTGAAGAGAACAATTTTGAAAAATGAGTGTTTTTACAGTCTAGAAAATAATTTATGCAAGCTCACATATGCGGTTTTGCATTTTGTTGATACGCGGTTTTGCACTTTAAACGACGTTATGTAGAAGTAATTTTTTCACAAAAGTATGCTAGATAATTTGAAATCAATAAATATATGAATGGCATAACATACAAATTAGATTAACATCTGTCTTAATGGTTATGGTACTGGGTGAAAAAAAAAATGTTTTGCTTAATTTTTCGAAAATGATATTTAGTAAATTTTATCACACAAACTAAATTCAAAATTTTGATCGACTCGAGATGCCAGATCGAAATAAAAAAAGTTGATTTTTGAATCGATAAAAATAACCGATGCATGAAGAAGTCGTAAAAATAAATCGATCCCCCAAGATCGATTCATATATGTATTTTGTCAAATTACGCCTTTTGCTTAATTTTTATAAAGAACCAAAATACGGCGACCTGATCAACACTGAAGTTGTAAACCTTTATATATCAAGATTTTTTCAAAAGCTATCAGGTAACTAATAAACTGTCCATATTAAGACAACGATATGGGTATTCACCAGAAATTGTCTAAATTCTTAGTTCTACTTGGGAAAATTGTAAAATTTTTTCGATTTTTTTTTATCGCGAAAGAAAAAACATTTTATGTTTTTGTTCAAAATTAATCGCTATTTTTAAAAGGGAATTATACATTCGCTAGCCTAATAAATCTTTGGGACACATATTATTTTTTTGTAATACCGACGTTGGAAAGGTGAAAGGTGCGAAGCTCCCTTCATTTTTTTTTGTACCAGCCTTTACGAAATTTTATAGATTTTAAAGGACCATCCGTAGATCAGTTTGATTCAATCAATGAATTATCGAATGCCGATTCTAGAATTTTTTGGTTCGATTTACGGATCGAATCGCAACTAAAAAATCGAGAAAAAATCAAATCGGAAGAGCTAGATTAATCGATATTAGATTTAATCGATTTTCAAACGACATCTCTATGGTCGACGTATTTTTTACAGGATACTGACATCAAAAGCTTGCTGCAGAAACTTAGCTCAAAAAGTTACTTGGTTCTGCAGTGATATTATAGAAATTGCCTTGTTTAAATTCGATCGAGAAAAGTGTATAAAAAAATAACCAACTTGCCTCAAATTATGCCACATGAAAGCAAGAAATTGCATTATAAGATCGTAAGCATGATGTATAGAAAGATAGATAGATAAAAGCACGGGTATGACAGAACAGTGTCGACCTGAAAGGTCTTTTGTATCTCTTAAAGAGAGAGACCCTAACCCATTATGCACAAGATACATTCGGCTTCCCTAACGAATCCTTAAAAAACCATTAGAGCTTTAAAATAAATCAACCTTTGTCTAGCCATACCCCAGACAGTCCTCATCTTAAAGGCACCTTACTATTTGGCCATCGTAGTTGGTTGTGGCCCGTTGGGTAGTCAGAAATTAGCCTGATGCCATTTCTGTTTAATTGAATAGCATTCGATCTATTAAAAGGGTAGCCGAAGAGCTTGGTTTGTCTATGACCCTTTCTGCCTCCCGATTACTGCGTTCGCGAGTATCCACTCAGTAATTACGGTTCTCTAAGAACACGAAAAACATTTTTCTTTTTAATCACCATAAATTTATTTTATTATTAATTCCATCTCACTTCTGCTTCTACCTTCCAGATTCCACTCATTCAATATCACTCACCAATTTAAGTCCCGTCGAATCCAGCTTCTCACCCGCTGTGCCAACACCGATGAAACGCGGCCCCGGACGTCCACGCCTCAAGACCGCCGGTCCAACATATCAGGGCACACGTGGTGCACCACGCACACGCAAGCCCATCGGTCCGCTTGTAGTGCCATTGGGTCACAGTCCCGGCGCCACGCCAGTCTCACGCAGTCCGGCAGTTAGTCGAGCGCCAAGCCCAAGTTTTTCGGAACGCAGCAGTTACAGCGCGACGGGTGTAACGATTTCTGCAGCTACAAAGGATGCCGCCGGTGGTGGTGGCAGCGGCGGCGGCGGCGGCGGCGGCGGCGGCGGCGGCGGAGGAGAGAATTAATTTCGAAGGATATTTAATTGAATTATCAGCTAATTAATTTATTACAAAAAAACTCTATATTAAATATATATTTAAATTTAAGCTGACTATTTTGTAAAATTAATTTATTTAGATTTAGTTTCAACCACATTCACTTTTAGTAATTTAAGTTCAAAGTGTTCATTATGCATCATTAATCGGTTTAAGGTAAAAATGAAAAGAAAAGTTATAACAATAATCTACTTAATTACATATGTATGTATGTGCTCGGTTAAGTAAATAGCAATCTTTTCTTTTTTACAAAATTCACAATATTTTGCGTGATACATTTTTTTCGTTAATTTTATGTAAAAATGTATACCATAAAACTGCGTGCTGAACTCACGAAAATTTAATAAATAAAAAGAAAAAATGCATCAAAATTTGCAACTTTTTATTCAGAATTTTTATAAACTTATCGGGTATGCATTCAATTTTAGTGTAACAATTTGCAGATGTGAAAGTCCTAAAATATCCCGTTGATTTTTGAGATTTTTTTTTGTCGATGGTGTTGCGCATTTGCTTCCATATAAGGATGAATAAAATCCAATTTTATATGGAAGAAAATGCGCAAAGGGATGAATAAAATTCATTTTTATGTGGAAGAAAATGCCCAACACCCACGACAAAAAATTCAAACCTGCACCTATTTAGGCTACAAAACCGTACCCAATAAGTTTCTAAAAATTAAAAAAAAAAGTTGAAAATTTTGATGATTTTTTTTTAATTTGCTACATTTTCCTGAATTTTGCACAAAGTTTTAACCTTTGACTTCTTGGGTTTATGCTATAAAATTTACTATATTTTTTATAAAAAAAAAATTACAAAAAAATTGTATCACTTAAAACGTTGCGAATGTTGTAAAAAATAAGTGTGCTAAATATTTACGTGAGCGCCACTGCACATAACACGTTCATATGTAGATATATAATTTTATGCGCAATTTTGCGTTAAAAATTACAAAAAAAAATAAAAAAAACTATAATTTAATTTTTAAACTTTTATAGGACACCCTCAAATTGAATTACCAAGCTTAACTGTGTATGACTAAGAGAAATTCGCCTGAACATTGTATTACTTATTCATAAAATTCTTTGTTATTGACATACTTTTTTATTTTTTATAATCGATACCTTATTTCATATTCTGAACCAATGTAATTTGTACAATTTTTATTTGCCAACGCGGCACCTCAAGATAATGTAAAAATATTTTTATCAGGCAGGTTCTGCGACTTCCGAGTTAATTTCAACCCTGCCAATTGAATTCAAAGGCATTTGATTGAAATTTACTCGGAAGTGAATTGCAGAACGGCCTGCATATTTGCTGTTCTATTCTAATAAAATCACAAAACTCAGCGCATCACTATTGTGATATCTACTGCGCCTAAAAATATGCCACGAAATTCAAAAGTTGGTAGATTTCTCAAAAAAAATACATTCATATGTATTTACAATAAATATAGCAGAACAGTAGGCATTTTAATGGTAAAAAGAGAACAACCCAACTTTTGACTTCTGACTTCAGATTCAGATTTTCGGGAGCCTAACTTCTATAATTATTGCCAGATATTTTTTGTTTTTGATTTTATGTAGCTGTGTAATTTGCTGTGTGACTAGAGCTCTTTCTTAGCTGTAGTATTATAGAGTCGGTTTAAATTGTTTACTAAAAGTCTACTGAGACTTGGAGATTTTGAAGAGCTTGAGAATTGCGCATTTTCAGACCATGGATATCGGTTTTAAAGAACTAATATTTTTTAGTACATACGTATTAGTTTCTAAGTATAACTTAAATGTATGTATATCGATAAGCTGAAACTTCGAATAATGTATGTATTCTATAATTATTTTAATGTATAATAAAATATAGACATATTTAAGCAAAATTTAATACTAAAAATTCGAATTTCTGATTATTGTGTTTAAAAGCGAAATATTTGCTCAAACCTTTTTCGTTCGCCGCCCACTGGTAGAAAACATTTTTGTTGAGACTCCCTGTACTGGTTAACTTCAATTTACCATTGCTGCAAAAAAAAAATAAATTCCAACTATTATTTTAAAAATGCATGTATCTCGTTTCGGAATTCAATAAAGAATTTTTCTAGAAGAGCAATCTAAACGAATATTTAGTAATGTTTAGACCAGGGCCCGTAGTCAGCATTTAATCAATATTTCATGATTTTTATTTGTTTCGCTCAAATTAATACTGAATTTGATTTTTGCGCTCAACAGAAATTTATTATTTTTTTTTCGATCACAAATAATGATTATTTTACGATTTTATTTTTTTTTCGCTCAGATATAATACGTAATCACTAATGAGTTTTGTTTTTCTGCTTGAAAATAATTTTGATTTATAAAACTTAAATCCATATAGCCGCAAACAACTTCAATTTTGACCTGCAAAGTTTGAGACTTATTGCTTTCACCTTTGAAAAAGATACTTCGGTTAAGCTACTAGCTTTCAAGTTTTCAGTTTCTATAGAGACTTGAAAATTACAATTTTTTTTTCATCTAATACCCAAAATCGATAATACCATAGTAGAAGATATCACATATAAATTTTGGTCCCGATTGGAGTCGGTTAAGACGTCATGGTAGGGTAATCTGAACTTTGACCCCTGTGCGACACGCCTTAATCGACTTCAAACGAGACCAAGATTTATATGTGATATCTTCGACTATAATAGCAACGACGTAGGGATTAAGGCTTAGGAAATTTTATGTAAAAATTTGCTTACTACATATGTATAAGGACCACCCTATTGTACATGAATAGCGAGATAAGCATTCCCTTTAATATTGGTTGCATTTTTTAGTAAAAAAAGACTAGACAGCTTAAAGTTATATCGCTTTAACTATGCAAGTTTTCCAAAAAACACCCAATAAATAGTTTGTTTTGACATTTTGATAGTTTTTCGGCCTTTTGGTTTTAATAAACATCGAAAGATATGCCATAAATTTCGTTAATATTTCAAATTCGCAACGACTCAAAATATGTTGAAAATTGTATCTTCCAACGCAGATTACCATTAACCAATCACCTGCCAAGTGTCAAACAAATGTATATTTATGTATTTTTAATCAAAATAATTGAGCATAAAAACACAATCGAAAATTTACGTATTTAACGAGCATCCAAATCAACTAACCAACTCACTTCACTTCAAATCATATTACGGTAATACCGTGTTATGTCCAATTTATGATTGCCACAATTTACATACGTACATACGTACAGTGAAGCCTGCAACACGCATAGTGATAATAGGAACTGTAAAACTAACTATGCAACTACAACGGCAATCAAAGCGCCAACAATAACAGCGACAACTAAAACAAACTGATTGAACAGCTGCTTTTCACTTTGCTCTTTGGCTTTGCGTGGCTCCTCGGACTGGACTCTCGACTGCTCCTTGTCATATCAATTAAAAATTCAAATTCAATTAAAATCAAATGCGGATTGTCGATTTTAATGCGTTGCTCTCATACCCGTGGCCGAACGTTGGAAGTTGCAAGAGGTGGGAATAAAAGTATTTAAAGTTCGTTGCCTATCTCGCACAATAACAACATCGAATCGTAAAAATATTAACAAAACTTTCAATTAAATGCGCAAAAATGTTGGCATGTTGCATGTTGCAACAATGAGGCCGAGTGGCAGGCTAAATACATACATACATGTACATAGTATGTGTTGGAATGGTCGGTGCACTATATAGAGTATCTTCAGTGTTGCAAAATCATTGGCTTTTGTCAGTGGCATGTCAGTAATGCAGGACAAACGATCTTAGCTGGAAGGGGCAACCTGAAGGTAACTTGTACAGTTTTATGTGCAACTACATTGAATTCCGTTGCAACTTTAGATTGTTATGTTTATTTTTACCTTCCTTTTTTATTCGAGCACTTGTCCTTAGCAATTTACGATTATATTTTATTTATATATACATACATACAGTGAATCAAACAACTGACCACGTGTTGTTTTTTTTAAATATTCGTATGTTTTTCGAGCAAATTTTTTTTTTTTTTTTTTTTTTTTTTATAAAAATACCAAACCAATGCTATATAAATTACAGTTTTAACTTTATACAAAATTTAGGAAAATTCAACAAATTTTCATCAATTAATCTGAATCTTTAGAACATCTTTGAGTATGCAGTTTTATAGCCTAGCCCATACAATTTTAGTCTAATGAAGTGTGAGTTTCAACCGGCTTAAAAATCGCGTTGAAATTTGAGAATTTTTTTTGAGGCTGCTTTTGCGGTTTTTTTGTACTTTTACATATAACAAGTTCAATTTTCATTACGAATATAGAAAAAGCAACACGCGGTCATTTGTTTGAGCCACTGTATGGAGTTATGTATCTATTGCCTACTTTCCGACTATGAACTAATAAACTTTGGGCTACTAATAGTCCACTTCATAACAGAGGAGATCAAAAAGTTCTCTTATTTAAGAGGTAGGGGTGTGAAGTTAAATGTGAAATTATTTCAAAGTCATCCGACCGATCATAATATGGAGCTCTAGACTGGATAAAAACAGCAATCAGAAAACGATCAGAAGGCTTAAGAGATTCGTATGCCTCGGTACATCAAGCGCTGTGTGCTGTGCATTTGAGAAAGTTAAACTTAAAGACGCCACAAATTTTCAAACAAGTGCAGTCGTTAAATGGGGCCGTTGAATTAAATGAGTTAAATTTGTGGCTGGCACAATGAGCGCAAAGCGGGCTTAGATGCCAACCGACGGAAAAGAATGGCATTGTTAACCGCACCAGTGGCTCCTGGTGGATAACAGATGGAAACAGCTGTTGGTTTTGGTCTCTATTCAGAGCACCTGCAGATCATGCAACTGCATTATTGACTGACCCAACGAAGGCGTATACAGACAAGTTGTAACAACAGATGCTGCCCAGATCAGGAAAAGGAAAAAACAAGATAAGGCAACTAAAGCACTTGGGGTCTCGCTTTTTGACTAGCTGGGAAGTGAAACAATTGGTTAGATTAGGTTAGGTTAAGGTCTTTTGTCCTTTGTGATACCACTACGAACGGTAACTGTCAGGTTAAAGTGAAAATCTCTGCATGACAAGAGCGAAGTTTCGCAGGCGGCACATATTAAGTCCGTAGAGCTCCTCTGGATCAGTTAAAAAGTACAATCTCAGGTGACTAAACCGTCTAGAAAAAGATGGGCAGATGATTCCACCTCGTCCTACTGCATGCAGAGAGAGCCAGGTGCAATATATAATC